TGTGTGTGTGTGTGTGTGTGAGAGAGTGTGAGAGTGTGAGAGTGTGTGTGTGTGAGAGAGTGTGTGAGAGAGTGTGTGTGTGTGTGTGTGTGTGAGAGAGTATGAGTGTGTGTATTTTTTTTTTTTTTACAAACAAAAATAATGTCAGACACATTTACCAATTTTGACAGTTTGACAGTTAAGTTAACAGATGAGTATCCAGTAACCAGTACACTTTAACCAACCACTGGCTGACACACGACTAGCATAAACCGCGAAACAAACCGTCAATCAACCGGAGACCGTTAGAGCCGCTGAACTCTGAGGGGAAACTGAAAGGTCGTGGGTTCGAATCCATTCGGGTTAATTCATCAACTACCATCATTAACCAGCACACTTTACCTCAGGTTACTGCAGCAGGACTCACACTAGTGTGGAAGAAAGCGTGTGTTATTAGTAATAAAGCAGCGTTTTCGCTGGACTTACATCTTCAAACAGCGATCCGACGTTGGCGGTGACCAGCAGGATTCCCGCGCCCTGCGCTGTCAGCTTCCCCGCCATCATTAGCGAGCTCGCCAGCCGAACTAATGAGCTAATTTGAGCTGTTTCTGGAGCGAGCGCGGGTGTGGAGTTGAGCAATGGTTCGTGAGGTTAAACGCTGCGGGTTCGAGTCTCGATCAGCTGGGATCACGCATACTCCTGCGCGTCTAGTACGCGAAATCAGAGCGCGCTCCGGACTCGACGCGTCAGCCTTCACTTCTTCGCCGTCTCGGCCATGACTCGGAGAGTTCCCCGGTTTAATCCACGGCGGGCGCCGGTCTGCGGAGCGTGTTTCGCTGGCGTTCGGCTCGCCCGTGCGCGCATTGCTCGCGTTTGTTGAGGGACGACACGCCGCTGCTGGAGTGAGTCCTGCGCTGCGCTGACGTCACGGAGCCAATGGGAAAACGCGTCTCTTAAAGGGGCAACGCGTGACGGGCGAGCTATATGTTTCAATTAGCCTGGTGACAGTGAGGGGGTCTCAAAGGCGGTGCCCCTTTAAGAGCCGCGACGCTGCTGATTGTGTGTGTGTGTGTGTGTGTGTGTGTGTGTGAGTGTGTGTGCAGGTTTTTCTACACTGGTGGGGACTTAAACCTGGCGGTGACCAGCAGGATTCCTGCGCCCTGCGCTGTCAGCTTCCCCGCCATCATTAGCGAGCTCGCCAGCCGAACTAATGAGCTAATTTGAGCTGTTTCTGGAGCGAGCGCGGGTGTGGAGTCGAGCAATGGTTCGTGAGGTTAAACGCTGCGGGTTCGAGTCTCGATCAGCTGGGATCACGCATACTCCTGCGCGTCTAGTACGCGAAATCAGAGCGCGCTCCGGACTCGACGCGTCAGCCTTCACTTCTTCGCCGTCTCGGCCATGACTCGGAGAGTTCCCCGGTTTAATCCACGGCGGGCGCCGGTCTGCGGAGCGTGTTTCGCTGGCGTTCGGCTCGCCCGTGCGCGCATTGCTCGCGTTTGTTGAGGGACGACACGCCGCTGCTGGAGTGAGTCCTGCGCTGCGCTGACGTCACGGAGCCAATGGGAAAACGCGTCTCTTAAAGGGGCAACGCGTGACGGGCGAGCTATATGTTTCAATTAGCCTGGTGACAGTGAGGGGGTCTCAAAGGCGGTGCCCCTTTAAGAGCCGCGACGCTGCTGATTGTGTGTGTGTGTGTGTGTGTGTGTGTGTGTGAGTGTGTGTGCAGGTTTTTCTACACTGGTGGGGACTTAAACCTGAATACACACCAACTCATGGGGACTTGTGTCACCGTGGGGCCCTAAATTGAGGTCCCCATTGGTACAGAAGCTTATAAATCATACAGAATTTGTTTTTTTGAGATTGTAAAAATGCAGAATGTTTTCTGTAAGGGGTAGGTTTAGGTGTAGGGTGAAAGAAAATACGGTTTCTACAGTAAAAAAAAACACAAAAAAACATTACACCTATGGAGAGTCCCCACAAGGATAGCAAAGCTGTGTGTGTGTGTGTGTACCTGGTATTTATCACGTTATGGGGACCAAATGTCCCCACAAGGATAGTAATACTAGTAC